GGATTGAATCCTTTGCTAATCTATTCAAAATTTGATAACTTTAGCGAGGGATTAGTCCTCGCTAAATATGCATATGTTTAAAAATAATGATCTTATATCACCTGCCATCTGTGTGTCAATTTGTGACATGTCACCAATAATCTCGTACCTTATCAACTGCCATGTCGCCTACCATCTCATACCCCATCACCTGCCACATATGCAACAACTCATGACATGTCATTGTTCACCTTACACCATGTCACTTGCTCCTTACCATGTCATATATTTATTATGTTTATGCCAAAGCCAAAATTTAAACTCTTAATCTCATACTTTTCAAGCCTTATACTTTTCTTCTTTGCCAGTTGAACTGAAAAACACCTACAATTATTATATGAGAAGTTAAAGATATATTATTTAACTACATAAATATATCAAATAATATATTATAAAAATACACACATATATACATATTAAATTTTATTTTCAATTATTAATATGTTAAAAATATTTATATTTTATTTAAATTATTTGTTATATTATATTTTTGATAAAATATTATTTTATTAATGAAAAACAACTTAAAATAAATAAAATATTAAATAATTTTATTATGAATATTTTAGTTAATTTTTAAATTTAATTTTTATTTTTAAATAAAAATAATTAAATATATAATTAAAAGTCATTGTCAAAAGTTAAATTTTTTTTTTTGCAATAATTAGCTAGGGATAGAATCCCTCACTAAATCCTTTATTAATTATCTTATTTTAAAAAAGGATTAACAGTCTCTCACTATTTTTCTCGCCAATTCTCTTATTTTAGAGAGGGATTAGTTGTCTATTGCTATTTTCCTCACTAGTTTTCTTATTTTAGAGAGGAATTGATAGTCCTTTGCTATTTGCCTTACTAATTTTAAGTCAAGTTATAAAATTACCATCCGTTATTAATTTGCTCACTAATTTGGTATTTTAGACAGGAATAGATAATTTCTCGCTAAATTTCTTCACTAATTTATATTTCTCTAATAGTGTTAAAACTTGAAACAAAATAACAAAGACGGTTACTAAGGCAAGTAGCCCGTTCGCTAAAATAAAGTCCTTTGCAAACACGGGGAACTTCAAATAGAAGCCTAATCATGGTGTCTTCTGCATGAGCGTTCTTTGCGAGAATGTTCGCACACTTGATGCTTGTTCTGATGGAATGAATTAATTCTACTTCATCTAACTGGCACAACATGTTCCTAATCTCTCTCTCTCTCTCTCTCTCTATATATATATATATATATATCAGTCATAAAAGGATGATTGGGATCATAGTCTCTTATTATTAGATTAATGGACTCTAGGGAGTCCGAGTGAATCTTCACTTTGGTAAATCTTTGATCTAGACAGACTTGGAGTCCAGATTCAATGCTCCATAACTCCACTATAGTGCAAATGCCCATTCCCAGACTTTGTTAGAAACCAAGGATCCAGGTACCTTGAGCATCTCAGGATATAACTCCAAAAGCAGCATGTCCATAAAAATTTGAGGAGCCATTAACGTCAAGTCATATGTACTTTGAGTCGGGAGCCTGTCATCTTTCCTCTTCCGAATTGGATGGGTTGAAAATCTTCTAGTGTTGCTTATGAGCTTCCTCATCCTCCATAAGGCCAGATTTGCATGTACAGTGTTGGCAAAAATAGATAAAATTATAGTTTGAGTCGTATTCAAAGACATTATCTTTAAGAGCTATTTTGCCATACTAAGTTGATCATGCGTTGGCTCTCCAAAATTAAACAGACTCTTCATACAAAAAGTAAAGACACATAACAATAGAAATTCACAAGATAAATTCAGGTAAGTGCACAGTGAATTAGATGATGGAAGAGGAGAGAAAGGCGGAGAGCACAAAGGTAATCTTTTTGAACTTGTGGCAAACATTGCTTTTTATAGGTAGATCTTATAATGCTGGGTCATAAAATCACCGTAATCACAATTAAAAAGGGAGAATTACATTGAAGTCCACACAAGAAAAGTAATTACTACAAGGTCCATTGACAAAGTTGTCAATGCAATTTAGTTCGGCTGTTAATGAATCTTATAATAATTAATTTTCTTATGTGGGAACCTAGTTGTAATTCTCCCATTAAAAAGGTTTAAATAATAATGTTGTTTAAATTATATATTACAAAATAAGAAATAGATTTAAATAATAATTAATATAATTAATTTATAATAATTCCTTATGAAATACTCAAAAATGTTTTATAATATCTAATAATCCCCTACATATTTATAAAGGAAGGAAAACTTTTATAAAGCTATCTTATACAAATAATTTTGTATCTTCAAAAATAGTTTTCAAAATTTTGAAATATTGGCCAATACCACATCTAACTCGTGCACAATTGCATGTGAGGACCCATTTTTTTTCTAAGCCTATTTACTAGTCCAAGTTTACATCTTAGCATTTATAAACTAAGGCCTCCAATCATTTCAGCAATATGGGATTTCCTTTTTGACACAATTGTAACAATTCTCACGTGTTAAAAAGACTACTATCATCTGAATTATTTATACAAAAGATGATCATTTTGAATTTTGTGTCTTTCGACTTAAACCAAATCTAAACCAACAAATTTTCAAAAATTTGCTCATATACAAATTGAGTAACAAAGTATTTTTTTTTCCTGTTAAATGACAGATTAGCATCATAAGAAATCATCAACATTAAGTTCTGTGCTACCATCAAATGCTCATTTTAGGCTACATAATTTGCAAATAATTAACAAACTTTGCACTCATGCAAATATCATCCTTCTCTTAATTAATTTTTTTTCTCTCCAAATCACAACACAAAGATATCTTGGCATTTATAAAATGAGACTAACAATTTGGCACAACACAATTTTTTAGAGTAAAGCAAACCCCACACTATAAAATATTTCAATCATATGAAAATATTTCATATCTTATCATCAATAATTCTAATTAAATTAGAACCTCACCATATAATCTCCTCCCATTCTAATTAAATTAGAATTTCTCATAATTTTAAACATATCAATAAATGCACAGAGCCCCACAATATGGTTGTTTAACACATAATCCACCCATGTTAAAACTCACGGACGAGGCATAATCACAAATCAAAATTATTTGCATATCAATGGACATGATATACCAATCTACCATATATATGTGTGTGTGTGTGTATATGTGACTTTCACACATGTTGTTATACTTGTCGTGCAATGTTATGAAAGCAACGTGCCATTTGTAGCCAAGAATATTGAATGCACTAAATACCGAATGTTAACTCCATAATTTGAAATAATACTCCCTCTATTTTTATATATAAGAAAAAAACTGTATTATACAGTTTAATAAAATAGGTTAACCATAATAATTATATCTGAAAATAAAAAAATTAGACTAAATTGCCCTATGTTAATCAACATAAGAATGTATTAATTATTTCTTGTTAATATATTATAAGAGGTGATTTAGAAAATGTGTAACAAATGTTTATTGAAATAGGTGATTTTTTTTATATAAAAAAAAGTAAAAAGTGATAGTTTCTCCTACAAATAAAAATGGAGAGCATATATTTCAAGTGATGCAATTTATCAAATTATATGTGTCCCCAAGTAACTGAAATCTAAACATATGTGACAACTTATCAATTATACACTAGTCTCAAAATTTAGATTAGTGGAAATTTATTTTTCTGTTAATCCAAGCAACTCTTACCACACACATGATAACAACATATTATTGTCCAACATTTGTTATCAAAATATACGTATCCAAACATAAACAAAATTAAGATACCCATGGAAATACTACCATCAGTTTCATGACCTCGAAAGTGTACATAAATGAATTATCCCAATAAATAATTCATATACATTTATTTTCCTTTCCAAGAGAAGGGGCATATGGCCAAATTTTGTAAGAATGTCTCCAAACAAAGCCTGCAACAAATTTCTATTACAGTTTAATCTCACAATACCATTTATAAATGCTTTAGACAAAACATCAGTAAGTGCTGAGAATTATAGGGTGACCACTTTACAATAATTCATACACTTGTAAAATACAATAGACACCACAATAATGTCCAAATAACCGAAAGAGATCATAACTAAGGAATCATAATCCTCAGTTGTAAATAACATTCACTTAATTACAAATATTTAATTCAGGAAAAACCTTATATAATCCCACCAAACGACATATATTAAGTATATTATGTCACGATCACCTACACTCACAAATATTCAAGAGAATATTAAAGAGAACTTAGTTGGATAACCTTTCTGCAGTTCTAGTATTATTGAATCAAAAGCTCAATTTCAGCTAAATATAACTGATTTTTTGGCCAAAAGCTAAATATCACTGATACAAGTGAAAATCTAGCTATATATAACTGATATAGAGCATAGCTACTCCTAAGAAGAAGAAATTCAGGGGGAAACACATACAGAGAGAAATCCCTTACAACATTGCTTAACCCCTAATTTCCATTACACAATCCTTCATATACCCTCACCCTCACGGAACCTTGAAGGCTTGAGGCGCACTCTGGAGCTGCGCCTAAGCATTTCGCCTGGAAGTGGTGCTTTGGCCATTACCTAAGCATTCTGCTCCTCCGTACTCTGCACAATATTATGTTGGTTACCTAAATATGCCAGTTCATCATCCTTGTTCATATTTGAGCCCAACTCTCTAATAGTAGCTTGTTCATCTGGGGCTGTAGCATCAGTATTGTTATTTTGGGCTTTATTGACAGCATCTTGTGCTTCAGCTGTGACATTACCTTCCCCATCAAAAGTGACCTTGTCCTCAAGGTCAAGGTTAGGATATTTTTGACGCAGATAATCCTCTTCCTCCCATGTTGGTGTCATGCCAACATCCTATTGAACCAGAAATTGAGGTTTCCATTTGCCTTGAACCAGCACCATTCTCTTCTTTAGCACATTAGTAGGCAGAATAACTGGTCCTTCCCCTTCAGATATGAAAGGTAAGGGTATATATATATATATATCAGCAGGGAACCTTCACAGCGTTTAAGAAATGAAACATGAAATACTGGATGAATTTTAGCCGCTAGGGGTAACTGAAGTTTATAAGCAACACTCCCAATCTTCTCTATAATTTGAAAAGGGCCAAAATATTTGAGGGAGACTTTTTGATTTCGCCTCAACTGTACTAAGTGTTGGCAATGATGTTGTAGCTTCACAAATACATATTCCCCAATATTGAGATGAACCTCAGTCCTTTTTCTGTCAGCAAAGTGTTTTGTTCGAGCTTGAGCCTTCTGAAGATTAAACTTGAGAATATCTAATATAGCATCTCTGTCACGTAGCTGATCTTGTACATCTACAGCCACATCTTGCCATTTAGATAGTTTCAACACAGATGGAGGTTCCCTACCATAGACCACTTTGAATGGCGTCATCCCAATGGAAGAGTGGAAGGAAGTGTTGTACCAAAACTCCGCCCAAGGTAAGAATGTAACCCAAGTCTTTGGAGCATGGAAGACAAGACATCTTAGGTACATTTCCAGACAGCGATTTAAGCCTTCACTCTGCCTATCTGTTTGTGGGTGGTAGGCAGAACTCATCTTCAAGGTTGTTCCTTGTAACTTGAACAATTGCTGCCAAAAATTACTGATGAATACCTTGTCTCTATTCGATACAATCGATCTGGGAATGCCATGAAGCTTGACTACAGATTGAACAAATGCTTCAGCAAATAGCTATTATAAGAAGCCCGTAAAGGTGTGAAGTGACCATATTTGGACAGTCGATCAACTACCACCATAATAACTGAGAAACCCTTAGAATTTGGTAAGCCCATTATGAAGTCCATGGCTACATCTTACCAAACTTGATTAGGGATAGTTAAAGGACTTAATAAACTACAGGGGCGCATCTGTAATGACTTAGCTCTTTGACAAGTACGGATAAGCTCCTTAATATTACATCTCATCCGGTGCTAGAAGAAATAAGTCGATAAGCACATGTACGTTCGAACAAAACCAGAATGTCTTCCAAGAGAAGACGCATGAAACTCATTTATCAGTTTCAAAATAATCTCCTTAGCTTCTTGTGGTACAACCATTCGATTTTGCCAATAAAGCAGGCCATCAATCAGCTTGTGCTCTATCATTTCTTGTGGTTGTTCTTGCAACTTTTCAGTAGAAGTTTGGTTTTAGCTAAATTAGCAACAGCTGTTCTAATTTCTGAAATCATTTCTGTCTGAGGAATTGTCACTGCTGTGTAGAATAATCTGGACAAAGCATCAGTAGCTTGATTAGATTTTCCAAGTTTATACTTAATGGTATAGTTGAATCCAAGTAACTTAGGTAACCAGGCCTCTTGCCTAGGTGTTTGGATAGTTTGTTCAGACAGGTGCTTCAAGCTTTTCTAGTCAGTCTGGATTATAAAGAAGCGCCCGAGTAAGTAGTGTCTGAACTTAGTTAATGCTTCTGTGATAGCAAACAACTTATGGATATAAGTAGATTGTGCTTGCATTCTTGGGGATAAGTTCTTAGAAAAAAAGCTATAGGATGATTTTCTTGTGATAACACAGCACCAATTCCGCTTCCAGATGCATTTGTTTCAACAGTAAAGGGTTTTGAAAAATCTAGCATCACCAGAATAGGTGCTTGAATCAGAGTAGCTTTAAGTTCCTCAAAGGCCTTTTGAGCCTCCTCGCTCCATGAAAACTTATTCTTCTGCAACAAGTTGGTCAGTGGACTCACAATAGAGGCATAATTTTTAATAAATCGTCTATAGTACCCAGTTAAGCCTAAAAATCCCCTCAACTGAGTCACATTCAGAGGAACAGGCCGATTTTGAACAGCTACTATCTTGTCCTGATCAACCTCTACTCCCAAAACAGAAACTACCTGCCCTAAGTAGTGAATCTTATTTTGACCAAATGAGCATTTGGTAAATTTAGCATACAGGTAATGCTTCACAAGGCAGGATAAAACAAGCTCCAAATGTTCCATATGCTCAAACCAGTTAGCACTATGTACTAATATGTCATTAAACAATACTAACACAAATTGGCACAAATAGGAACGAAATACCTCACTCATGAGAGACTGGAAAGTGGCAGGAGCATTCGTTAGCCCGAATCGCATTACAAGCCATTCATAATGCCCCTGGGGAGTTTTGAAAGCAGTCTTGGCTCTGTCTTCTTCTCTCACTAAAATTTGATGGTAGCCCAATCGAAGGTCCAGTTTAGAGAAATAACAGGCTCCCCTCAATTCATCTAACAACTCACCTACTGATGGAATTGCAAAGGAATCCTTCACCGTGATTGCATTTAAGGCTCTCTAATCGGTACAGAATCTCCAAGTACTATTCTTCTTTTTGACCAGCAATACTGGGGCTGAATAACGATTATTACTGGGTCTGAAAATTCCTTCCTCTAGCATCTCATTCACCATCTTTTCAATTTGACTTTTCTGGCTAAATGGGTACCAACAGGGCTTGACTTTTACAGGTGGTATCCCTGGTTGAAGATAGATCTCATGGTCTGTGAACGAGGAGGGGATAGTCCCTTTGGAATTTTAAACACTTCTTGATATTTCATCAATAGAGTACCCAGATCCAATTGAATGTCTCTAGGTAGTACAAACTCTACTTTAACAGTAATACTAGGTTGACACTCCAGGGTGTATAATTTAGCTATGGCTTCCGTTTCATAAATTCTCAACAACTGGTTGAAATGTGCAGCTTCATGTAAAATTTTTCTATCCGCCTGAAGAGTGACCCAATGGTCATTTTCCAAATATCTCAATGTGGCAGTACTGTAGTTAACCAAGTATTCTCCAAGTATTGCTAGCCACTCAGCCCCAAGGACCACGTCATAACCTGTGGCCTCCAGAACATAAGCAGACATGTTGATGCATTGCCCATCAATTATCAATGGTAAGTCACTGACCATGCTATTACCCTGTAAATAGCTTTCCCCACTAACAAGTACCTTGAACTCAGACACCTTCTCTATCGAAAGCTTGAGATGCTTCACCATCTGAGGTTGAAAAAAGTTATCAGAGCTGCCTCCATCCAGAAAGACAGATACAGTAGTTCCCAGAATAGAACCTCGAAAGAGTCGTGTATTTACCCGAGGATCCTTGTAAAGCCTGTAAGGATAAATGATGCAGCTCCAGTGCCCCATCCGATTCTTCTGGTGCATCTGAAGAGTCCCCTGTTTCTACCATAGCTATCGCCTCTTCCTCATTTTCATATTGGAGTAACATATATTGCCTATTTGGACATCTATGAGTTGGTGTGAATTTTTCTTCACACATATAACAAAGTCCCTTATCTCTCTTTACTTGTATCTCAGTCGACGTTAACCTTTTGACAGGAGTTAACGGTTTAGTGTTAGGTTTAGGCAGTAGTGGCGGCAATGTTGATCTTGGAGGTGGTGTACCTCCTTGAGCGGTATTGAGTTGGGATACAGTTCTTGGGTTCAAATGCTGCACAATCAATTTCGCCCTAGATATCCCCATATTTCCATATATCTTCTTATATAGTCGTGCTAACGCGGCGGCGCTATTCAGGTTGGATGGTTCCTTGGCTACTGCTTCACGACAGACCTCCTCCTTGAGACCACTAATAAAGCAATCACATAGGGCATCGGTGGATAACCCTTCTACCCAATTGGTGAGAGTCATGAATCGAGTATGGTACTCAGATGTGAGTCCAGTCTGAGATAGTTTGAATAGTTGTGTTCTTAGGCAGTCAAACTTAGTAGGCCCAAACTGATCTTCTATGGCCTTGGCTAGTGCAGCCCAAGTTGGAAACTGATGAGTCCGTTGCATCATTTGAAACCATGCCGTCACTGACCCATCCATATGCACGGCTGCTATAGTAATCCATTGTGGATTCGGAGTCTCATAGTAGTTAAAGAACTTCTCAGCATGAAAAAGCCATTGCAAAAGTTCAGTACCACCAAATCTAGGGAAGTCGAGTTTCACTTGCCTATGCTGGAAGGGTTGGTAGTTTTGCGATTCTCCAATGATTGGTGTTTTTGAGTTCGAAGACCCAATGGTTGTCTCAGCAGTCAATTTTGACATTCCATGCATAAGTTTATTGACATTAGCAGATATCTCAGATAAAGCCTGGTCAAAACGATCCATCCGAACAGTGTATTCAAAATCTCAATGATCCCAGCTCTGAGAGTTTCTTGATGTCATTCTAGAGTTCCTTTGAGTGATTGTTTTCTGCCATTAAGTCTCTCAATGAAAGCACCTTATGTCACGATCACCTACCCTCACAAATATTCAAGAGAATATTAAAGAGAACTTAGTTGGATAACCTTTCTATAGTTCTAGTATTATTGAATCAAAAGCTTAAGTTCAGCTACATATAACTGATACAAGCGAAAATTCAGCTATATATAACTTATATAGAGCATAGCTGCTCCTAAGAAGAAGAAGAAATTCAAGAGGAAACACATACAGATAGAAATCCCTTACAAAATTGCTTAACCCCTAATTTCCATTACACAATCCTTCATATACCCTCACCCTCACAGAACCTTGAAGGGCTTAGGCGCACTCTGGAGCTGTGCCTAAGCATTTTGCCTGGAAGTGGTGCTTTGGCCATTACCTCTGCATTCTGCTCCTTCGTACTCTGCATGATATTATGTTGGTTACCCAAATTTTCCAGCTCATCATCCTTGTTCATATTCAAGCTCAACTCTTTAATAACAGCTTGTTCATCTTGGGTTGTAGCATCGGTATTGTTTGTTTTGGGCTTCATTGATAGCATCTTGGGCCTCAGCCGTGACTTATTATCATAGAAAATTGCAACTTCTGCCAATCAACATAACTAAACATCAAGCTTCAATGTTTTCAAACAACTAACAAGCAAATGATTTAAACAAATTCTCATCATCGTTCTCGTGCCAAAAAATAAACTCTCTCTTCCATGCAATAAATCTATGTATGACTGCAGCTTTTAATGATATTTATTATTAATTATAAAACCTAATCAAATGAATAAATATGTGATCAGAGAGCCTATGTTACAACTCTCTATTGAGCATTAATATGTTGCTAATGTTTAGGCTTTAGCCATAAATATGAATTGAAGGAATTCTTTCACAAATTTTTCCTTCAAAAATTCCATACAAGCCACACGGATTCTTTAATGTTATAAATGTCATTAACTGCCAAATAAAACTTTAAGCGTTGAAAAATAATGTGCATATAAAGCATCAAATTGATTAGGCTAATTATTGACAAATATTATCTTTGCCTTTTAAATTAGCAAATGGAGAGAATTTCTTTTCTCATCAGGCAACTCTTACCTTAAACTCACAAACTGCACAATTAAATATATACATGCACATACACGTCCTTTCATCATTAGTATCATTGGTAAAATTATAGTTCATATGCATAGCTGTACGCAGTAGAAAACCAAGCCGCATTACCATAAAACAAGGTCAGGGAAAAGCACGTTCAATGGGAGCACATCCATTATCTCTAAAATAGAATAGGACCCCATGTTTGTGTAGGAGGAAGAATCACAATGGAGCAATTAAATTTTGTTGAGCCATGCATTCCTAGCTATGGTGGGGTTGACTTCCAAAATCATTTTTGTAGCTGAAGGAACATGAATGCTCTCCTAACACAACATTCGATCACTTTGCTAGTATTCATGCTTGAGTATTCTACTCAAACATTCCGCTATTGAGGTCTTAAGTGCGTTCAGATTTTGGGGCAAATTTGACATTCTTGGTGTTCATACTCACTATTTCTGATCCTAGCATATACATAATCACATGCGCCCTTATACTCAATTCTATTCAAAAACACCATTGAAACCTAATGAACCCTAGTCACCTTAGGTTATTAAATTTAAACTAGAATGTAGAAGTGAATATCCTAGGTCATTTCTCTAGGGAGCAAAGCATACAAATCATTATTCAAGTGCCACAAGTTAAGGTGAATTTTTAAGTAATCAAAACTAAATCTAAGTGCATGAATTAGATGTTTTTAATTTTCTGTTTTAATTGGAATGGAATGAATGGTGATTATGATGAGCCCAAGTCAGATTTCCTAACATTAATCATTGATTTTCATAATTATATTAACACAAACCTTTTGATTAATCTAATATGAGACACTTAGAAGCTTTTAAGTGTGGTGCACCATTAGACTTAATGGACGCTAATGAATTTAGGTCAAGTGAATTTAGAATTAACATTATGTCTAGCTTTGTTCTACACAAGTTTCAGATCAAAACTAATGGAAGAAAAACACCTTAAACCAAATTCATATAATCAATATGGATCTAACTCAAGTCTAAACATGAATTTGAATAAAAATTAGCAAGAACTTATGAAATAACCTTAGAATATCAAGTTAAATCATAAATTCCAAATCTGGAAATAGCATGAAAATTTAAATTCAACATTCATATCCTTATCAAATCTAAATTAGAATTACATAATCTTTAACCAAACTAGGTACAGAATTTAAAATCCTCAATGAATCAAGACAACAACATGAAATCAAGAAACTGAATGAAGATTACAAATCTGAAAATATCATAATGTTAAGTCATCCTCCTTGGAGCTCTAGGTGCTTAGCCTCTCATGTTCTTCTTCTTTAATTGAATTGGACCTTGAACTTGAGAGAATCTCATGAATCTGGAATTTTATGCTTGCTGGACGTGAATCAAAGCTGAATAGAAGACGAGATTCTGGCTGGAGATAGAAGAGAAGATGAACGAAATTGGACTGGAGAAGATGATAAATCTGGACGTGTATGGGCTAGAATGATGAAGGAGCAGATCTGTATTGAAGGAATGGTAAAGAGGACGTGAGGAATAGAGCTGGAATGATGAAGAACAAATCTGGACTTGAAGAATAATGATGAAATAGCGGGAAGAATTGGCTGGAAATGAGAGGAAGATGAGAGAAAAATTGAGAGGAATCAGATGATGAGAGAAAATGGAGAGTGAGGAATGAGGCTTGAATCTGAAAATATGGCTTAAGTATGTGTGATCAATGTGAGTCAAGGTGATAATTCTAAAGTTGGATGGTGATATTTTCAAAGTCGAGATCTGAAATGAGAATTTCCAGCTGGAGAAAATGAGTTAAAATTAAGAAAAATAAATCTGAAAATCAGAGGAAATGAGGCACCTAAGTGTTGAATGAAAGAGCATAGAAATGTGATTGAAGATGCATGGATAACGTGACTCTTCCTTGGTTCATAATCAGCTGCCACGTGAACTCCTAAATTCAGATTGCAATTCACGCATGAAATGCACTTCTTCAGCTTTATGATGATGTCATGCAATGAATTCCTTGGACCAGACTTCAATTGTCACGCGCAAATTGCTCTTCATTTCTCATGATGAGTCATGATGATGTCATCCAATGCCCTCTTTAAATCAGAATTGAATCACGCATATATGCTTCTTTGTTTTCCCTTGATAATGTCATGCTATGCATTCTATGCACCTTTAATTCTGATTGAATCAATTCTCTAATTAGCTTCTGGACTTCACACCATTAAGCCCAAATAAATCTGAAATTAATGCCAATCACCACTTATTTTGCTCTTCAGTTTCTCACATGAAATTCACTTATCCTTGCGTTTTAGCTCTAAATTTGCTTCTTTCATAATCTGAAAATAAAGAATACAAAAGTAAATAAATTTTAGAAAGACAATTAAAAAGGAAGAAAAAGAAAAAGATTTAAGCCCAACACTATTGTAGGAAGGACTTTTAACAATGGTTATTTTTAACTTTTTACATCAATTACAATGTAGAAGTAAAAAAAAAAAGGAAAGTGAAAAAGTTACTTTTAATGTCGGTTATGCAACCATCGTGAAAAGTTACTTTTCACGTCGGTTGGAATACATAGCCAACGTTAAATGTCATTAACCAACAAAAAAAAAATTTAAAAATAAACTTTTTACAATGGTTATGTGAGCAACTGTTCTGAAAAATTATTTTTACAACGGTTGTTAACCAAAAATCACAATGGTTTTTTAGAGAAACATTTTTTTTTCACAATGATTTTTTAGAGAACCGTTGTAAAAAAATTTTTCACAATTTTTTTTTAATAACCGTTGTGAAAAGTTTTTTTTAATATATTTTTCAATTTTTTGATATCCAAAACTTAAAACCTGCAAATTATATAGATTGTGTGACAAGTATAAACAACTAGCCAGTAGAATCACAATGACTATACATGTTACAACTACACTTAATTTACTTTTTACAACTATAGTACATATTTTTTCTACTACTAAAAGACTAAAAAATTTTGTTCACCCTCAACAATGTGAAAAGTATTCTTGGAGAAGTTGTTGAGTCAAAATATCTCGAATACTGTCAATCTCTTCTTCATTATAGGGCTCCGTATTATCAAAAATCTAAATAATAAAACTATTGTCACAAATTACTTTAAGGAATTGAATATAACAATTTAAACTAAAATTACAACTAAAATATACCTCTTGTAATCTTTCAGTACTTCTAACTTGAATTATCTCATACATGTAACAAATAACATAATATCTGCATTCTGTGCTTCCTGGCTACTAACGGCATTGAAATAAATAGAAATTTAAAA